AATAGAAGAATTTATTTTATTAATATTGATAGATGGATGAATGATCCCAGAAGCCTAACTTCTCCAGCAGCCCCAGAAACAAATTGGCACTACTATCCTGATTTTATTTCTACTGGGGTCCCTAAGCCCCTTTCTCTGAGGATTCTGCCTGATGTCTTTCCTTTGGGGAGCAAATTCCAGCTCACTCGGGCTTTTCCAGAGATAAAGGGAAAAGAGCCCATATGTTGTTTAGCTGTAAGTGTAGGATTTAACAGGACAGATATCTTTCCAATAGCTTTGAGTCACTGGGTTTGATGGCCATTGTAAATTTCAGAATGCACAAACTTAAATGGGTAAGGAAATGTTTTCATAGAAGTTTACATTTCCATATTGATTTTATTCTTCACTAGTTTCATATTTCACACACTATTTAGAAAGACCATTTTTTCCAATGGCACCAGTTTGCTCTTATAATTATAAAAACAGTGACTCTACGTGTACCTACCATAAACAATGTGATGCTTTGGAACCCAAAGTCCAATATAGCACAAATAAAGAGTTTTATTCCTTATTTGCAGATAGAGTGCAGCCAGAGCTTCGCCATCTCTTAGATAGGGGGTGAAAAGTTGGCAGGCACATCAAGCGATTTTTTTCTATTTATTGTTTTATGACAAACCATGGCACTGAAAATGGTTTTTGAAAACCACTGTTTATTTTCACCAACAAACATGGGATCATGTGACAATGATACACCCAGTGTGATCATCACACCAGGGTAATAGTCAAACACTGGGCACTTCCAAAGTCCATTCAGTTATCAAACTGCCTTCATGAAACAGAGCACCTAGTTCTGGCATATGCATGGTTTTCAGAGTGCAGAAAGACCTCTTAAATAAGGGGCCTTGGCTGGAGCAAGCCACTGAAAGGGAAATAGGTTGTGGGGAGAGTCAGTTCCATCCTATTGAGGATGGTTAAAAGGTCTATTGCTCCTAAAATTTCTTGTCCGGCAATCCATAGCTAACAATTCCATATCCCATCTTTTCCCGGCCCTAAGCCTAAAATTCCCAAGCATATTCTTATTTAGGCAAAACAATGAAAAGTAGGGTATCCTATGCCAAGGACATGATGTTAAAGTTGGTAGAAGGGGAGCAGGGGAATGCAATTTATCCATTTTGAAATGTGCAAGTGGCCCTAGGGAATAAGATCCAGGAGAAGGAAGTTTAGATGGGGAGGGGAAGGAATCCTGGTCTGCCTGGAGGCAAACGCTGAGCAGGCAGCAGGCATTCTACAATAGGCAATGGTGAAATTGAGGAGAATGATACATTTAAAGAATGGCCTCTTCAATCAAGTCATTTCCTTTTCCAAAGGTTCTGGGTAACTGGTAACCCACTATTCTGAGTAGCCTCCCCCAGCCTTGGCCTAACCAACACTAATGACATCAGTCTCAAGCAGGGTGTATAAGAAACGCAAATTGCTCTGCTGCACAGCCATAGCCACTTTTGTATACCTCCCACTCTCTCAAGAGTCCACATTTCTGCAAAACTTTTCCTATCAATGCAAATCTTAACTTTCATGAGTCCTGGCCAAGAGATAACATAACACCCCTGAGAGAGATGCTATCAAATGAATAACATAATCATGTAGATAAAGAACAAACCTTTAGTCTCATTGGAAATCACATTTTGTTTTTTTTTTCCTTTCCCATATTCCTCTCTGAACTGTTTCTTTCCACTAGTGTTTAATTTGATTTTGCAAGATAAGGAGAAGAGAGGGTGCCAAACAACTGTAGTTTAGTTTTGTGTCATCAGTGAACGGATTATTTTAATTTGGCCCAGTCTCTCTTTTTCCAGATCCTGCCTGAATCCAGATCATCAATAATGTGCAGTTTGGCAAGCAAATATTGGGCTAGTTAGAGGCCCTCTGTTGAAAGTCCAGAATTTCAAAGGGCATAGGCAACCATGTTTAATTCAATTAAGCAAATACAGTCTGAGTAACTATTAGGGGCAAGACACAGTCCTAGTTATTGGAAGAAAAGGACAAATGCTTGGCCTCTGAACTTGAAAAGCCCATAACCAAGCATTTTGCAGCCCTTTCCTTTAAATAACTTAATACCTGTTTATTCCATAAAGAACCTCCTTATTTTTTAACTCAAAGATTTAGAGCCAAGGAGTCAACTGGAGTGAGGTATCTTGAGTGTGTCCTCCAGTGACACAGATAAGAGCACGTTGGACACCAGTAGTGTAATTTTAAGTTCTTGACCACCGAGGCTTTTTTTTTTTTTTTTTTTTCCAGTTTTTTGCCTGACTTTCTGGTACTACTAAGTTGACAGGATTTCTAATAAGGATTGTAGGTACGAATTGGAGGATGAAAAGAAGGTGAGAAAGCAGTTGATGAAAACTAACCATGGCTGGTGGCTCACACCTGTAATACCAGCTCTTTGGGAGGCGGAGGTGGGAGGACTGCTTGAGCCCAGAGTTCAAGGCCAGCCTGGCCAATATAACAAGACACTCCCACCTGGGCAACACAGCAAGACCCCACCTTAAAAAAAAAAAAAAAAAAAACTAACCAAAGTGTAGATAGTTTGCTTTAGGGCTCTTTCCTTTTCAGCAATCCTTTAATTTTTTTCTTCCTGGATATGAATAGTTTATTTTCTGTAGTCCAATCAGCTACGCAGAGGTCTTCACTTGTTTTTGATTTGCTATGGCCAATTTTCTCATTGAACGAATGAGCTTTATTTATGATCACCAGTGTTGTGCAGTCCTGCGCATGTAAAAGCCAGCAGTCCTAGTCAAGGACTTTTGTAATTTGAAAAGAACCAAAACAGCACAATTTTTTTCCAATTGTGAATATATTGGGACAGCAGATGAGGTGAAGAATTCCTACTGTTCTAAAAACTGAGAGAAAACAATCACAGAAAGTTTTCTCAGAGCGAAGCTTTCTCAGTGTGTTATGTCTCCCTGGCTCACTGACAGCAAGTGGGAAAGACTAGCTTCCTAAAGTACTGCGCTGAGGGGCTAGCATGCTACGAATCTTCTGAACTAGAGGCCAGAAAACCTGCATTATAGTCCCAGGTCTTCTACACACTTGCTGTGGGGTCTTAGGGCAAAATGTTTAACCTCTCTGGACTTTATTTTCTTCATCTCTAAAATAAAGAGGATAATAATAGCAGTAGTCAGGTGGCAATGTGACTCGAACCTAATAAATGTGCAAGGTTTTTTTTATACTGTAAAGAATTGAATCCAGGTATATTATTGTTGAGGTATCAGAGACCTATTTGCAAATCGGAAAACTCTTTGTCCTTATCAGTGTATGGCTCTATGCCGCAAGTTTCCTTTTTCTATTAACTGATTCTCTTACAAAATGGTTTAGCTAAACAGAAGGACTACCATCTTGAGATGGTCATCAAAATACATGAAAAGTTAATGAGATTTTCCCCACAATATATCTGAATAGGGGAAAAGTTACACATATCTATCAAATAATTGCATAGCTCTCTGGGAGGTGTTCACGTGAAAATAAATGAGTGCATACAAGGGCTTTCCATGGTTGGGACAGTGTCTTCTGAGTGTGTTCTGCAGTTCTTACAGCCCTAGGAGCATTGTGCAGACATCAGAATCAAAGCCAAACCCTGTCGTTAAAAACTGAGCTACAAAGCTGGGCGTGGTGGCTGCGCCTGTAATTCCAGCACTGTGGGAGACTGAGGCAGGCAGATCATGAGGTCAGGAGATCAAGACCATCCTGGCCAACACAGTGAAACCCCATCTTTACTAAAACTACAAAAAAATTAGCTGGGCATGGTGGCATGCACCTGTAGTCCCAGCTACTCAGGAGGCTGAGGCAGGAGAATTGCTTGAACTAGGGAGGCGGAGGTTGCAGTGAGCCGAGATGGTGCCACTGCACTCCAGCCTGGCAACAGAGCGAGACTGTCTTAAATAAATAAATAACAACAAAAACAAAAACTGAGGTACAGAGACATGATCCAGGTCATCCAAGCTGATGGCAGAATTGGGACTAGAATTCAGGCACAATTTTATGCTATAATTCCATGTTGTTTTCTCAGTTTCCAGTCAGGGAAGAGCTTTGCTGCTTGGAAAACCTAACTCAGTAACAATTACAACCCATTCTGGGTTTTCTAAACGGTGCTGCTCAATGAGTGAACAGATGTTGGAGAGTCCACTGGAGTGGCCCAGGCAGCTCAGAGCCTTGCAGAAGATAAAATTCCATATGTAATAAAAGGACAGAGCTTCTAGTTGCCCTGGAATAATCAAGAATGCTACAAGGAAGGAAAGGTAACCTAATATCTAGAATCTATTTTATGCCCCACGTTGAACTTCCCTAAGAGGTAACTCTAGACCAGCCCGACCAACATGGCGAAACCCCCCTCTACTAAAAATACAAAAATTAGCCGGGCATGGTAGTGCACACCTGTAATCCTAGCTACTCGGGATGCTGAGGCATGATAATCGCTTGAACCTGGGAGTCAGAGGTTGCGGTGAGCTGAGATTGTGCCACTGCACTCCAGCCTGGGTGACAAACCAAGACAACATCCCAAAAAAAAAAAAAAAAAAAAAGGGTAATTCTGGTAGTTCTCCTGAAAGGTGAAATAGTGGGATTCAATACATTTTCTAAATCTAGGTCGGGCTCTTCCCAGAGAAAAGCAAGGCTGCTTGAATGAATATTGCTGTGGCCAGTTATTTTGATGGCGAGAAAAGAGATGGATCCTAAAAGAGGGTGATAGGCTGAGGGGGCTTAAGTTCATTCATTAAAGTTAGGATGACCAATACATTCTAACACTATTCTCAAAGACTTGATGGACTTTTCTCCCTCTTCAAAATAATGTTTACTTATGCTATCTGAAAACACTTCCTGCATTTCAGACTCAGTCTGCAATATGTTAACAGCCAACAGTTGAACAATATTCTGCATGTGCATTCGTAGCGCAGTAAACCATTTACTCAAAGAAACAAAAACCCACAACAACTCCCCGCCTCCCCCAATGAAGACAGCAGAAGAGAACTAACTGATTTGTCTGTTGTCTTTCCTGTCAAGATCGCCCTCGCCTTTGCTTTGGTCAGCGGGAAGGACTTTATGTATGAGTCATACAAATGTTTTGCCAGGGCCCGGAGGTCAGCGGACTCTGGGTTCAGCTGGTCGATATCACTGGAGATCTCCGCCAACAGCTTCTCCTTCTCGGCTTGTGGCATCCGCCCAAACCTGATGGCTATGGAGGAAGAGGAACGACAGGATGAATCATTGGATTACTACTGCTCTGAACATACACTATGCTCTCCCAGCCCTCGTTCCCACACAGTAAAAGCATCTCCTCCTCCACTGCTCTCGAGTTCTGGTTTCTGTCTACCAGTTTGCTCATGTTTTTATAAAAGTAGCACAGACCATCAGTAAAAATTAAACTGTTCACTTTAATTTTTAAAAGTTAATGCATAATCCTGCTGCGAAAGTGAAAGAATTCAAGAGTTTAGCAAAGGGAGGAAAGTATGTCGACTTAAACATGAAATAATTGAGAACCAACTCCTATTCATCCCTCAAGACCCAATTCAAAGGTCACCTTCTTTGCATCCCCAGCAGTTGACCTAAGGTCAGGGCACTAGAAGGATCAACACGTTTCACGAATTAAAATACGAAACTGTGCAGAATTCAAAGTTGTACAGACATAGGCTTTGTTCTCAGGGAGTTTGTATGATCTGTTTGTCTCTGTTAAAAAGAAATATGGATGGTGCTTTATCACATCTTACTAGTCTAGAGAGCACTTTTACATGTAGAGGAGAGAAGCCATAGTTATCTCCCAACTCTCCAGAGTTACCACTTAATGATGTTTGTCAGAAAGACAAACTGGCGGCCTGTAGGGTGAGGAAGTGTGAAAAAAGGTAATGAAAGAAAGAAAAGCAACGAGGAAAATGTAAGAGGGGTTAGTGGGGACTAGTTTGGGGAAAAAATAAACTGTAACTTTTCAACTCAAATATGTTTTCTTTCCTTCTTACCAATATGTTCAGCAAAATATTATTTTGAATCACGTTCCTTTGGGGGCACACTTTAGGTTCTATGTTTCCCATAATAAGGGTACCTGGCCATCATGTCCACTGCTCCCCATGCATACATAGCTCTGTTCTTACACTCACAACGTGGTATCACAGCCATGTGTTTTTATGGTGATCGGCTTCACTAGACTATATGCTCCTTGAGCGCAGAGACCGTCATATTCGTTTACGTCTCTAGCAAGACTCTGTCTCTGCTGAATCCCAGAACAAAGAGATGGCTCTTTTATTTTATTTTATTATTTTGAGATGGAGTCTTGCTCTGTCACCCAGGCTGGAGTGCAGTGGCACAATCCCAGCTCACTGCAACCTCCACCTCCTGGGTTCAAGCAATTCCTAGGGGTTTACAAGGGGTGCGCCACCATGCCTGGCTCAGTTTTATGTTTTTAGTAGAGACAGGGTTTTACCATGTTGTCCGGGCGGGTCTCAAACTCCTGACCTCAAGTGATTTGCCCACCTCAGCCTCCCAAAGTGTTGGGGTTACAGGCGTGAGCCACTGCGCCCAGCCAGAGATGGTTCTTTTATATGTTATTATGCTAAGGGTAGCATTTCTACCATGAGACATGACAGCACATGACAACTTTCCCATCTGAGTACTCCGTGAAAATTACCTTGGATTTTCCCAAGAAATTGACACGTACCCTTGAGTCTCAAATTCATAAATGCATTTCCATTGACCCTAAATAAATTTTATCACTGACTAATACAACTACTGTTTTGTAGGGGCCTCCTTAGAGACCAGACTTGGGAGTTAGAGGGGAAGAAAATCTTACCTCTCATTTGGGATTCCTTTAAATTGAATTAGCCTGTATTTAGATACTTTTAGTAAATATATCCTTGGTACATGGCCTCTTCATATAGAAACCTTTAAACTGGGAGGTTTTGGTCAAAAATCCTGCTTCCCTACTCACTCTTCCCCATTTTCTTTCTGTGTTGTTCTACGGGGCTGAGGCATGGTTGTTCATATTTCTATCTACTGGTGACCCCAGCCCCTGGTGCTAGGCTTGTCTGGGTCCCTCAGGATATGACCTCATCTCATAGCACTGATCACAGGAATTAACCTATAATGTTTTATTTCCTCCCTTGCCATATAATCTCCACAAAGGCAGGAATCTTGTTCATTATTGTATCCTCAGCACTTAGTACAATTTCTCGCACATATTAAGCCCTTGTCTACTGTAATTTGAAATACAATGGAAAGAAACCCCAGATAGCATATTCCTTCAAAATGCTCTGTGAACCTCCTGACCACTTTGCTCAGATAGAATTCCTTATGCAGTTGGCCCTCCATACCTGCAGGTTCCACATCTGCAGATTCAACCAACTGTGGATTGAAAATATTTGGAAAAAAGAACCAATAAAAAATAATATGGGCTGGGTATGGTGGCTCACACCTGTAATTCCAGCACTTTGGGAAAGGATTCGGCTGTAATCCCAGCCAAAGTGAAAGGATTGCCCAAGGCCAGGAATTTGAGAACAGCCTGGCCAACATAGACAGACCCTGTCTCTACAAAAATAAAAATAAAAATAAAAATAATTAGCTGGGCATGGTGGAGTGTGCCTCTAATCCCAGTTACTAAGGAGGCTGAGGTGGGAGGATCCCTTGAGTCCAGGAGTTAGAGGCTGCAGTGAGTCATGATAGAGCTACTACACTTTAGCCTGGGTGACAGCAAGACTCTGTCTCTAAAATAAATAAATAAAACAATGATAAAAAAAAAGACAAATAAAAAAATATGGTATAACAACTTTTTTTTTTTTTTTTTGAGACAGGGTCTCATTCTGTTGCCCAGGCTGGAGTGCAGTGGCACAACCATGGCTTACTGCAGCCTCGACCTCCTGGACTCAATCGATCCTCCCACCTTAGCCTCCTGAGTAGCTAGGACTACAGGTGTGTGCCACCATGCCTGGCTAATTTTTAAATTTTTTGTAGAGACAGGGTTTCACCATGTTGCCCAGGCTGGTCTCGAACTCCTGGGCTCAAGGGATCCTCCTGCTTCCGCCTCCCAAAGAGCTGGGATTACAGGCATGAGCCACAACGCCTGGCCATAAGAATTATTTATACAGCATTTACACTGTATTAAATATTATAAGTCATCTAGAGATGATCTGAAGTATATAGGAGGATATGTGTAGGTTATATGCAAATAATATGCCATTTTATATCAGAGACTTGCACATCTAGGAATTTTGGTATCTGAGTGGATCCTGGAGCCAATCCCAGGGAATAAGGAGGGATGGCTGTACTATGTTCATTTCTTGTTCACCAGTAGTTCCCAATTGAGGAGTGGGGAGGGTAGGGGAGACAGAGCATATCAGAGTCACATGGTAACTTCTGACATTATATGTTTTCCATGGAACATTTTGATGGGCCATCCATCCACTCAGTTAGGAGTATATAAAAAACCTGGGGTTTGGGACAGTTTATAAAAAGCTTCCTAAATGCTGGGCTCCTGTTGTATGCATACATTAGCTCATGTATTAAACTGTTACTATACTACAATGTTGGTTTATATCAGTTATTCTACTTGAATGTAAATTATATGAGTAACAGGTTTTCTCATCTTTGTTCCTAAGTGTAACAAAATACACATAGTAGGTTAACAATAAAAGTTTGATGGATTAAACTCCAAAATATCAGGTTTAAAAACATACAGAAAACGAGACACTATGTCCATTAGGAAGTTTGGGAAAATGATCATGAGAAAAGCACTAAGTAAGAAGGCGTATTAAAAGAAGAAGGAATTTTGGTGTAAAACTCAGAGAAAATCAGTTATCCTATAACAAAATAGAGGTGACTAGAATCACCAACTATCTGCTGCTCCTGAACTTTTGTTATTTCACAGAACACACAATACTATCTCTTTACTCAAGGAATAATTATTGAATGACTACTGTGTGCCAGGCATGGTTCTAAGCTCTGATTTAGTTTTTACAGGTAAGAGGCTATAAACATATGCAAAAGTTTACACACCTAGAAAAGCTATTTTTTCCTAATGGGTAATCAAAAAAGTTAATTTAAATGAACAAATAGCCAAAGATAGCCACTTACGACATTTGCTAGTCCTGCTTTTCTATCACCTAACAAATATAACCAGAAAACACCTCTAAAAACCATTTTAGAATTAGGATATATTAAAGTGAGATCCCTCTGCCATAATCTCACAAAAATGTATTTTTATAAGTTGAAGTTCCCCTCAAAGGCTAACTCTAATGAATAAATGATCTGTATTGTTAAGTGCCCATGCTACAAATTAGGTTCCATTTAATTACCAGTGCAACCAATTATATAGGTGATTTTAGCATTTTTATACCCCAGAGGTTCATAAAAGGAATGAAAAATAGATCCCATTTGGTGAGACTAAATTCACATAAAACATACAAAAATCTGAAACTGTACAGAAAATAAGGATTTTTATTTACATACTTTTTTTTTTTTTTTATCTTTCAGCTGAGGCACGCATACCTTTTTTAAGGGGGAAAAAGCCAGTGTTATTAGTATATATAGCCAGCAACGAAAAAGCCAGTTTCGTTGCTTCTGAGTCCCACATAATAGTACCTATCTACCTCATGTGAGGTGATGAGAGGAAGTGCTTAGCACAGTGCTGGGCACATGGCAATGCTTAATAAACACTGCTTTTATTGCTGTGGTCTTGGTAACTATGGCTGCTGTGGGTTCTAGACCAGGTTGGTAGTCATGGCACGCTGACCTCTCCCACAGAGAAAGAACAGAATCTGAAAACCTAAACTATGTGTCTGTGTGCCTGTCTATCTCTATTTCTATCTTTCCATCTTTAAATTGTTTGGGAGATGGTGTTTTTTAGTTAAGTAATTCTTGAGCCTCAGGTTCTACCTTTTACCTACCAAGAGGAGGAAAGTGATGGAGGTTGGGAGGTGTTTCCTGTAAGACTGAAGTGAGAGCTTAGAAATAGAAGATGAACAGGCCGGGCGCGGTGGCTCACGCCTGTAATCCCTGCACTTTGGGAGGCCGAGGCGGGCCGATCACGAGGTCAGGAGATCGAGACCATCCTGGCTAACACGGTGAAACCCCGTCTCTACTAAAATACAAAAAATTAGCCGGGCGTGGTGGCGGGCGCCTGTAGTCCCAGCTACTCGGGAGGCTGAGGCAGGAGAATGGCGTGAACCTGGGAGGCGGAGCTTGCAGTGAGCC